GACACACTTTAGATAAAACACACGAGTGAGAACATCTCAAGGATCATTTTATATTCACCTAAATCTGACAAACTGAACCTTTAACTAGAAGTTAGTAATTCAAGGGTTGTCAGACTGTTTATCACTTTAGTCTACTTCTGTCATACCTTCGTTAGAACTGCAGTAATTTCACAGTTTAACTGCAGGAGGTCTAAGTACAGTTAACTCTCAATAGTATCTGTAACTACTTCAAACGTTCATCATTTTCAAAAAGTTACTGAAACCTATTGTTTGAACAGATCAACGGGTAAAACAACAGGAAATGGATAAATGAAGTAAAGAGATAAATGACTAGAAGAAGTGAATACAAGGGTGAGCTAGTTTCAGATATAAATGGATGAAAGAGCTGTAAGAAAAAATGAATTTTTATAGAATCAAGAGTAAAATAATATTTGAAATAAGAAGAAGACGTGAGGAACATGATGTCAGCGCTAAGTGAACTCATCCGCAGGCCTGTGAGGTTGAAGCCAGGAAGTTCCTGATGTAACAGGATGAAGAAATAAGTGGCTCATTAAGTAGCTTAGCATAAACAAAACGTTCAACTACAGTAATGCGTTTGAAATCCAGACAAGGTGCAGGTGGTGGAGTTACGTCATGTAAAATGATTTAAATACTCGTCTTTCACAAATCCAGGGGAAAGTTGGATATTGAGAGGAAGAGAAACGTTCCATGTTTTCCAATTCGCAGACAGAGTTTGATCAATTCGATTTTCCACTCGATTAGCGTTTTCAGTGTCGGGGAACAGTCGGATCGTGAGGATTCTGCAGAGCTGCCGCCTCCGCCCAACCACGTCTGATCCCGAGCTCCAGGAGAAACGTAATTTCTGAATACGCTTTGATGTAAGAAGCTGCCTCATCTCTCCGGATGCTACGGCGACGAACGTCATCCAGCGTGACCTCACACCTCTGTGATTCAGGCCCTCTGGCTCGTTCCCCGGCTCACACCTATTAGTCTGATGAAAGGAGGAGCAGATGCATCAGGAACAAAGAGGAGAGACAAAGGAGATGTTCTTCAGACCGGAGTCAACAAAAGACGATGATGTAGCTGGTTTTCCCCTCAGCAACACAAAGCCCAGCACAGTATCACAGATTCCATGCGCTTGACTCAACAGTCCACCCCCCCCACCTCTCCCTCATCCAGTGGACTCTCCCAACAACCCCTGCGTTTGTTGCTGTTGGGAAGGAAGTGATGTCAGAAGGGGGTGTGTGTGTATGTGTGTGTGTGTGTGTGTGTGTGCGGATGTCTATCTTTTGTTTTGAGGGTCAACATTGGTTCAACACCTTCACTGGGACATTTTGATTTTGTGAGTTCTCTCAAATTCAGCAGGTTGTTTGAGGGTTAAGATTTGGTTTCAGGGTTAGAACTGAGTTTAGGTTTAGACATTTAGTCTTGATGGATAAGGACAGGGTGAGGGGCTGTGTGTGTGTGTGTGTGTGTGTGTGTGTGTGTGTGTGTGTGTGTGGCAAAGACATCAACCCACGCTTCCATTGAACCGACTGAGGACAAACCCGGTCTGTCTCACTGTATTGCTGACTGATTGTTTTCTGCACAATTACTGCAGTGCACGGCTTGTAGAGACAATAATGTGTGTGTGTGTGTGTGTGTGTGCGTGTGTGTGTGTGTGACTGACATTCCCGTGGCTTCCTCTCCGTGAATCTGTCGTAATCTTTGATTGTGGCAGTGTTTCTCTACGAGCTTCATCCTGGACACTCACTCAGCTGTGGTTAAACTGACGTCGTGTAAATAACAGTTTGTCTGTGTCTCTGAACCACTGGACCATGACTCTTTCTCACCAT